TTAAAAAAAAAAAAGTAAAATCAACACCTTCTTTTAATTCGAGTTGATTAAGTTGAAGACTTGATTTATTATCAATACACCATTGTTGAATCAAGTTTAACAAATATTGTCGATGTTCATCTAATGTTAATGATGAAAGTGAATTTGCTGATGATAATGGTTGTGACAAAGACATTAATGCAGATGAGAATGAAGATGATTGTGTAGCAATGGTGTTGTCAAGATTTCTCGATCGTTGTTGTCCTTTACGCTTTGTTTTCAATTTTTCTTCAGTTTTTTTTGATAATAATTGTTTCAAACATTTAAAACTATTTTCGATACCAGGTTTCACTATAAATTGATTATTTTTCAATTTTACACATATTTCTTTACTTAATTTTTCTAAAATTTCATCGTCAATATCCATATTGAAAATAGCACATGGATTTTCTGTTAACAAAAAGCACGGCACGCTACTAATATGCAGTTGTGCAAGTAAACGAGAATGTAATTTACCAAGAAAAGATTCAACAAAATCATAAAAACGTTGATCCGTATATGATAATACGTCATCTGGTAAACGACTTGTATCAAGATAAATATTTGTAAGAGACATAACAGAAAAAATTCTATATACTAATAGTACATTTGAGAAAACGATGAGATCGAAACAAAAGAAATGTTAGAATTGTACGAGTACTTCTTGAGCAATAAGGAAAAATAATTTGTTTATTAGCTTATCCAATAAGCGAACAATTATTGGTTTCTACTTCCCGGAAAAGTGCGACATCTAAATAATCAAACACCTCTATGACAAAACTGGACATCGTGCACGAACAGCCAGCAATATAACGTTCGTACATTCTTTCAAAAAAGTTGATTTGTAATTGTTCTTATTCCCTAATAGAATAAAAAACAGATTCTTATACTGATATTTATTATTACTTGTAGTTTTAACCACCCTATAGTTTCGAAAAAAGCTTAAATGTGATATTTATTAATGATGTTATGCTATTAACGCAATTTTATTACATGCTAGCTATAATCTGCTTTGAAATTAGGTGTATGTAAGTGATATGAAAGTTCACAATACGTCAAAATCATATCGCTCTTCTTATTTGAAGATCTGTGGAATTTAGATATGTTTCTCAAAAATTTAGCTTCTATTAAATTATTTCCTTAGAAAATGTAAGAGGAAACACGAGATTAGTGTGAAAATATTTCAAAAACTCAGAGAAGTGGATTGCAAGATACATCATTTAAGGAATAAAAGTGAGTGATAATATCAATAGCACATGTTTAAAAAAATACAATTACCTCACTTTTTATCCCTATTCTTTATTCTATATCATCATATACGATATTTCCGCGCAAAGTAGGAAATAAAAACTCAGCGTTATGGAACTTTTGAAATGAATCGTATTTTATATCTTATCTGTAAATAATATGTGTCCATGAAAAAGAGTACAGAAGAATAGTTTTTTTCCAACTTTTCAGTGAAAGATTCGGCTATCGATATTTGATCATTATTATATTGAAGATATACAGGATCAGTTTCGGTCCTGATCTTGTAAATTGAAACCTAAATAATGCTCAAAAAATGGAAGCTTATTTTGCCCCGAATTAAGAGATATAGTTAGATATTTCATTGTTTTCGAACGAATTTTTTTCTTATATTATAACAGCTCTAGTAAAACTTAAGCAAGAAGACAACAAAATAAGGATATTTGTTGGCTGAAATATTGCCAATAAAGAAAACTTATGAATTTACTTAATATTCATAAATATATTGTGAAGTAATTTCCGCAAAATTGGCACCAAAAATGTGAGAAAATAACGTTTTGTCAACTTGGATTAAAAAAAGCTTGACTCATCGGTCTCTATATTTGTTTGAATGGAAACTAAAATCACTTCTAATCAGTTAATTCTCATTCAGATCTCATACGAGATTTGGGTATGTCTTATGTTCGGATTTTATGTTGTTGACAGATGATTTCGAACTTTCAATTTGAGATGTTTCTTATACGAATTGTTTGTAAGTTTTGCTCCATGTAAAAGATTTAAATGAAAAAAGTTGTACAAAAGTTTTTGAATCATATAAAGGGCTTTTAATAATTTCATACTTTTACGCTCAATAAATTATTTAGAGAATTTCTAATATTTGTGTATTTGAGATTTTTAAAATGAACAATAAAGATGATAATTGTGATACATCGGTTCTGCCAGATGATATATTTACATTGAAAGGTGAAGAATTTTTTCGTGTTATTCGACCATTAATAGGTGAAGTTGCTTGCAACATTCTTGAAATTCAAATGATTGATTCTGCCCAAAACTTCTTGAATACAAATGATATTTTTGATATATTTAAATACGATTCTGATGATATCGATGCAATAAAATCTAAGTTATGTTTTAAAATGAAAGATGGACAATATATTGTTCGTACCGGAGTATTAAATAATATGACATATTTGAAAACAGTATTAATAAAGAAATTTGAAGAAAAGCATATTTCTTCAAATAATTTACATACAGAAAAAATTTATGAACTAATCAATCGAAATCCGATATTGCAATCACTTATAGCATGGTACTCACAGAATGAATTTGCTAATAATGATATTAATAAAAATCATTCGTTCATGTCATCTTTTATCGACACTATAACAAAAAATATAGTTAAACAAAAACAAAATTACCGATATGATGATTCTATGAAAGATTTTGCTGTAGTACTTTATACTCTAGGTGGTAAACAGGTATACGAGTTCGTTCGAATTAATATTATTGGTGCATTACCTAATTTAACAACATTAAAGAAATTAATATCGAGTACTGATGCTATTTTAACAGAAGGTCGTTTTTGTTTTGATGCACTACAACAATATCTTAATTCAGTAAAAGTAAAATTTGGTTTTTGTTCAGAGGACTGTACCTCTATAATAAAAAAAATTAAATATGATGTTAAGACTAATTCATTTGTTGGATTTGTTACAAAACTTTCAAATGGAGTACCGATTCCTGACTATTATCAGACTGATTCATTTGAAGAACTGCAATTTTGGTTTAATAATATTGAAAAATCTAATTTGTTGAATATTCATATGTTTCAGCCTATACCACAACTGAATCGTACAAATGCACCAGCCTCATTTTTGATGAGTGCTTATGGTGTTGATAGTACATCAACAGCCATCGATATACTACATCGATGGATATATATTTTTAATAATTGTAGTAAAAGTCAAATTAGAATTATTGGTTTTTCTACAGGTAAAATCTTTGCGTTGGATCTTTGTTGTTAGGGGAATTGAAAATGTTTAATACATGTATGAAATCAGAAATTGAATCAAGCTGTTATAAGTGGGATATGATAGTTTACAATTGAATAATTTGAAGAATTGAACGGAAATACTAGCTGCCAGTCCATTTTATATGAGCTGGCTTTACTAAATTATTCATTTTCGCTGAATTACCTAAAATGAGATTTTTAATAACTTCAGCTCGAATGAAAAAAAGTGGTCATCGGCTTCAGCTAACATGAAAGATGCTGATAATAGACTTTAGCTTGTATGATGATACCTAATGTATAGCGTCAGTCTGAACCAACGGGAGATGGACACTCGATACCAAGTCGATTACTTGATGTGAGACAGCAAAATAACTAATAATAAGAATAGATTATCAAAACGAAAATAAAAAGGTATCAGTTTTTTGAACCAAACCAAAGAATAATAGTACGGTTTATACTACAACTATTCGACGGAGAACCAAACGATAATCTTTTGTCTTTCAGTTATTAGAATTTATAGAAGATAGATAAATTTAAAACTATATACTGAACAAAAATGAAAAACCTTAAGAGCATGTTCTACGGACAAGAGCACTAGCTCACTTTGTATAAAAAGCTTTGAGAAACTTCATCTTATGTTAGACTCATTCAGCAATTAATTATAATAAAGACTTGAGTTAAATCAAACAAAGAAGCAGAATTTAAGTTTAAATGAACTATAACTTGAGTAAATTTATGGCATATGTTTCTTATAATTTTTGAGAAAACATTTGCTATGGATCATTAACAAAATAGATAAAACAAAACTTTAACACATTTGAATTCGATTAAAAAACCCGAATAAACTGAACTGAGAGAAGTCGATAAATTACAGTTTTCATTATTTATTTAACTAGAAAAAGTCTAAGGAACTTCAATTTTAGATGATATATCAAAACAATGATGCCTTTAATGATCATGTCCGTCTCAAGGACATTCTTTATCAATTGTTTATATGAATAAAAAAAATTAAACGTTAAAATTTGTAGTTTTAAAGTTTATAATAATTTTGGGTGACTTGAGTTTTGTTTTTTCACACATCAAATAAAAATAATTGATGATGAGCGAGTTTGATATTTTCAGGCTTATAATAACTCAAAATAAAACTTGAATTTTACTTTCATGTTGTCAGACTTGTATTGCATAAAGTCGTGCTGTAAATAAGAATTTTCATTTGTATGACTTTCGGTCACTATAGCAACCAGCAAAAACTGATTTAAAAATTTTTATTCACAGAAGATCTTCAAAGATTTTATTCTTTCAATGTATCTTTTTTTTTATTACTATCAATTAGATGGTGATAATAAATACATGCGAGCAATGCGATTAATGTGCGGCTTCTTCGGACATTTGTTGGATCTTCAACCGTACGAACATCCAGATGCATTTCAAATCAAGTTTGAGGGGCAGTGGCCATGGTTTTTTCTTCGAAAAAAACAACTATGTCTTTTTTTACAAGATCCAACACATTTAGTGACAAAGTGGAGAAACCGGTTACTGTCTGTTAAAGCTGAATTGCGTATCGGAAGTCAGTTAATTAGTATGAAGTATCTACAAAATATAATTGAAAATGATAAATATACGAAACTAGATCATGGTTTAATCAAATCTGATATAAATCCAAAAGACAGACAGAATTATCGATCTTGTGTTAAAATAGTTTCAGAAGATGTTTTAAATATTCTTAATGAAAACATTGATACACAAGGTACTCATTTATATCTTACATTATTGAAAATGATAATAATAGCATATATTGAAAAGTCCACAACAATAACAAAACGTGAGTGTATACTATATCGAGAGTTCATGAAATTGAGAATAAATATTTTGCTTAATCTACGTTCGGAAAACTGATACAGAGTTGGTCAAAATGTCGTCCGATGAAACAAATGCTTTGGTAAAGCGAAGAAATCTTTTCTCTGTATTTGAATGAAAAATAGGGATTGTTTTAATCCTTTTGATATATTTTGAAGTCATTTTGTGTATAGACTAGAGTCTTGAATCGGATTTTTGGTCAGATTGAAATAAATTATAAATCATGGTCTTATGTGAATTTCAAAATCTTTTTTTGTAACGCGTGTTCGATAGATAAGCCTTTCCAAAAATCAATGAAGTGCTTGTTTTGGAAAAGTAGTTGTTGCATAGAATAGGAGAAAAAAAGATCTCAAATAATAGAGTCCTAAAAGTAATATATTCCTGTCAGTAAAGTGTAGCATTTGGAAGTTGAAAAACTTCTCCATAGAAGTAACATTTTACGAAGGTTTTCATGTTGGTATAAACATTTTATTTATTATTTATTCCAATCCGACAAAATACTCGATATAAAACTGGAATATGCGTTATTAGAAGTTGCTAACTTTGAGCTTGTCAGATTTTAAAAATTATATACAGATATAGTTAATTAATTTTAACTTAGGATTAGAATTGGCGTGGTGTGTTGTGTTCGTTTGTCGCCTTTGGTGGGCTTGGTTACAAAATACAAATAATGTAAATATATCAACAGAAAATAAAAATAAAAATTTCATAACTAGAACAGCTTATTGGTCAGTAGAAATTAATGCACATATGTTGCTTTATTTAATATTACTTGTAAAAGAGAATCAGCTACCAAAAGAAGCATTGCATATTTACTTGTTTAATTCGCAATCTTGCGAATCAATGTTTCGTAATACAAGATCTTTAAGTGGGGCATTTTCCACAATTGTTAATTTCACGGTTGCTGATTTTCTTGGTCGATCTAAAAAATTATCAATTTTAAATAAAATCAAATGTCAACAACAAGATAATGAATATGACAAACGTTTGTTTTTTCCTACACACCATAAACATAAAAATGATAACAGTTTAGTAGCACAAGAAAAATTAGATGATGTTTATAGTTTAGATGTAGAACAAATTGTTTTTAATTCTTATAAAATGGCGCTTAATCTTATTGAACCGTTAAATATAATATCAGTATTAAAAGAATATCATCTTCTCAATTTATACTCTTTAAGTAAATATACTTTTAATTACTTAAATACACGATCAACAATAAAAGCTAAAACTAGTTCAAATTCAGAATTATCAATTGATTACTACGAGAACGATGAAGATGAGGAAGATGATGACGATTATTTAGATAATAATGAAATCATTAGTAACAGTAACGAGGACAGTGAAAGTCTTAATGAATCATTCGATGATGATGAAGAAAATTTGGAGACAATGAAAAATGATTTTAATGGTATAAACATTCGAGATAAAATAAATATGGAGCAGGAAAATTGTTATTTCAAAATAAAAATTAATGGAGTAGTGAAGTATATGCATAAGCAAACTGCTTGCTGGATTTTGACGGAAGAAAATGGAAGAGTTTCAACAGACCGTTTATCTCGTGTAATACAGATGAACAAAAAGTAAAAATGATGATTTATCTTGTATAATTTCTGTTGTTAGTTTTGTTTATTCTAACATTATGTAAATAAAGACATTGGCTATAACTAATTTTTCACTTTTAATGTTCCCGTAAAATTTGAACACAATTTTACCTGATACTAAGTATCCAAAGCCACTTTAAGGTACTTTAATATACTTTAATGTACTTTAAAAGTACTTTAAACTACTTTGAAGTACTTTAATGTACTTTGAAGTACTTTGAAGTACTTTAATGTACTTTAATGTACTTTGAAGTACTTTAAGGTACTTTAGAAGTACTTTAAAGTACTTTAAGGTACTTTGATGTACTTTAAGGTACTTTAAGTTACTTTGATGTACTTTGTGAACTTTTATGTACTTTAAAGTACTTTAAAGTACAAAAGTACGGTGTTTCCCCCTTGCGAAAACCTCTGCCCTAGGAACCCGTCTATAAATAAAGTTAGTCAAAAGATCACTTGGACAGTGGAAAGCAACTTCCGAAGTTGTAAAATGCTACTATAACACAAAATGGCGCAAGATTAAATGATAGAAACGGCGTTTTGACGAACTTTATTTGTTGACGGGTTCCTAGGGCAGAGGTTTTCGATGGAAAAAAAGTGTCGCGAAACGATTCGAAACATATATGATTTGACTCAGTTTTTAGTGGAGATTCCAAATATGTAAAAATATCAATAGGTCTCCATGCAAGTTTTGAGAAATCCAATCTAACTTTTCAAAGATCCTGTGATAAACTGACTTCGAAATTGTTCCTCAGAAAAGTTTTTCATAGTGAAAAGATGTCTCTTTGCCTTGGCTGTCGAACGCCGAAAACCGCAAGTCTGTATCTTGTTCCTATCAAAAATTATTCAAAAAATAGTCACACGCACGGACTTTTTGGACGGACATTAGTTTTCGTATCATCTTCTATATATATATATTAAATGACACATGTAGATAGAGACATTGCCATTACATTACACATGCATCATGAATCCGATGCGAATTAATATATTTATATAGATCTTCATGACTTACTTGTCATATTCGTTAGAAGTTGTTATTCTATATCGTGATGATTGTTTAAAGGAAAGCATTATCATTTTTTCTTAGTTATGCTTTTAATAATTATTAATCTCTAAGAGAATCACTAACAACAACATTTCATTTTGCAGTCAAGCGATAATGTTCATAAAGCTCATTAAAACTAATTTATTATGGAAAACTCGTATGAAATTCAACAAAGTCGATGATCATTTGTTAACGTCAATATCAAAATGATCGTGCTCAAAAAATGATTATCGACATTCATCTACGCCTAATAGTAAGATTAAGTACGTAAGAAATTTCGATGGATAATAGTTAATGAACAACTCTATTGATACCGAATCAACATCTAGATATATCAATACAGGTATTCAGTTCATCATTTACATAGGCATCGCTCATAGCTTAAGTCTCTAAAGTTTAAAAAAATTATTCAATCTGAAGTATAATAGATGCATTTTTTATCGATGGTATAACAAAATTGATGATTTGTAAGAATAAGACTAGATTGTTAGACTTGATCATATTCAAGAATATTT